GGGGGGGGGGGGGGTGGGGGTGGTATCATTAAAATCGTACGGCTGCTGTGGGGTCAACCTTGTGCACCGCGTATCAACACCCCGGCGAGGAATGTGCAAACCTTGAGCAACCGCTTTGCTGTCCGAGAGCGAACAGATTCTCTCCCGCGCACGCTTAGCCTCTGCCCTCTTCCACACTCGCGTTATCTCGCCAGATCACTCTGCAAGGCGGCCGCCATTTCGACCGCGGTGAGGTTGCTCACCCGAACCGTGCGTCGACTGGCCAAGGTCGGCCGGTGCGGGAGCTTCGTCCTGGGGTGGCTGCAGAGACTCGCGGACTACATCCTCGCGTATTCCATCTGCTTCATCTCCATCTACGGCTTGAGCTTCTCGGAAGGTGGGTGGGTGGGTGCTGGGGGGCGCTGGGTTTCGCCTAACTAGGCAGCGCAAAGCAAACTCATTTTTTTGGTGCGTCAGTATTTCCCCTTCCTTTCTCTGGTTTATTCACCGTGCGGCGTAAGTTAGCGAAAAAAAAAAAAAAACACGAGAGTCTAGGCTCCAATTTTTTGCAGTCGCCAGGTTCGCCTCACAGGGGGGGGGGCTGAGACTCGCACAATAGTAGGTAGCCGAGTCAATGTGTCAAGCGTCACCAACCGAGTTCTGATGATAGAGACTGAAGACTTTGCTCTTCCGAGGCCGCCGTGGAATCAACCGGCACAAAAAACTGCCGCCCACAAGAAACCAAGCCACCTTGCCCGTGACAAAGAGCCGGAGGCGTGTTGCGGCGAAATTCTGGCGTGTTGGCGAAAGAACGACGCCATCGGGAACGCCACCGCCGTCACACCATTGCCTGCTTTTGAAAGGTCGTTTTTGTATAGCGCTACAAGAAAGTTTTGGAATGGCGCTACAGACAGCTCCAGCACGTCAGGAACTTCATGCTCGGCATCACGCTAAAATAAAGAACTTGAGCGAGTGCCATTTGTGAGCCCGCTTACACGGAAACCTATGTAACGGACACTTCGCAAAGCGAGTGCAAACCACAAGAGGAACGAAGAACCCCAACGTCGGCCGAAACTAGAAAAGTAGAGGGTTCTTGAGTGCGGGCGTCATCTGTATGCAATAACGCCTTGCAATACCTCCATCCCGCGGTGCTCGAAAAGCAGCCGGCCAGCGCGTCTCGGAGCTGTTCCGGCGGCGCGGCGTCACGACCATCGCGAACGACATCGTCGTGGACGTCGGCCTGACCGCTGTCTGCGCGGGGCTGACCGTCTGCTTCTTATGCTTGGCCTACCTGGTGATCACGGTGACACACAGAGTGTTGGCAGGCAATTTCCTCGTGGGGGTCTACGTGATCTTCCTGTTCAGCCCCTTCCTAGTGGCATTCGTCGTGGCCACCACGGTGGAGGTCTTGCGGTCTTCCTTCAAGGCCGTGTTCGTCTGTTTCGTTCAGGTACAGTGCTGTGACAAGCGACAGAACACCGCCTGGTGTCGCCCAATCGAACTACGAATAACCTCAACAAGTTTTTCAACCACACGGATGTGATCCCTCCGGAGTGGACTCGTGAGAGCATGGTGCCATCTAGATGCGACGTACGATGAAAACCCACAGCTGGCTTCCCAGCTGCCTTTCGACGCTTCCCAAGCTCTCACAGCTGACGTAAGTTTGACTCGAAAAGCCAAGCGAACCTGAACGAACCAAACAAAAACAAATAAATTTGTATGGTGTTACATTCTTTTTGTTTTTTGCGTTTTTGTTTTTTGTGTGTGAATGTGTATTTATTTTAAACATTGTCCGCGCTAACCGGCTAACCAATGAAAAGACGTCAGTCTCAGTGCGGCTGAAAATACAAAACACTTCTACAAGCCATCAACTGGTGTGAGTGTGTGGGGATGTTGTGTGCGTGTGTTCCCGCCGCTTTCGCGTTGCCCTCTTGGACGGGGGTGGCGGTTTCAGTGTAGAATGCTTCCGACAACAGATACTATTGGCTGCTGATCCTATGCCAGTCGCACCCTATGGTGAGCGACAAGTAAGTGCACCCCCCTTCCTGTTCTCTCGCGGATGCGGTTGTTTGGTTGTCTGGAGCTCGCTCCTGCTCGCCTGTTTGCTGCTGTCGTGATGCAGAACTATGCACATTTTATCCGGTCTTTGGAGCCCTCATGACACCCCCTGCTACGCTGCCTTGCGGTCAGCGTGCTCGGGCATTATCGTCGTTGTGGCCCCTTGTGTTCGTTGTGTCGTATTCTAGCTCTCATTCTAGTCCCTGCAGTCAGCTAGCCATAGGCTTCTTGTTGTTTTTGTGTCTCCCTTCGCAAAATGGCTCGCTGTTTTCCAAAACCAAAGTGTCGAATGTGGGTTAGATGCTTATTTGAAAAACCAATCGAAAAAGGCAATACCATACAAAACTTTAAAATATAATGGACGCGCGTGTATTTTTCTTTTTTTTGGGACCCCGTCGGTGGTATTATCAACGCGGCGTTTTTCTCCCTCCCTCCCTCCTTCCCCTCCGCATGCAGGACCCGGACGCCCTCGCCAGCAACCACGGCCGCCAGCTCCACGACGACCTGTCGAGGGCGTGGGGCGAGATGCAGGCCGAGTGCCCCAAGTGGACCGTTGGCGGTGAGGTCGGCCAGCCGCACGACGGGGGCGTCGTCGGCATCACCCACCAGGTCTAATTAAATAGTTTTCGCTAAAGATGGCGACGATCATGGAGGACTACTATGTCTCTCTCTTGCTCCGAGAGGTAACACGCGTGCGAAAGAGCGGGTTGCTTTGCTTTCGTAAGGGAAAGGTTTCCGTGTTTTTTTTTTTTATCCTGGGCAAACCCAGTCGGCCACGACTGAGGTATCCAACCAAAGCCTACCGTAGCTACGTAGAGATCGCGGGGGGATCGCGGGGGGGTCAGGTCAGAGATATTGGCCATGAGGTCGAGTAAGTGGTATTTAGACGATGTGGCTTGTCGCGTGTGTGTTTCGGAGGATAGCCGTGCACGGGGCCGGTACGAGACGCCGGTATCCAACGATGTATCTAGGTTTAGGGCGGAACTTGTTGATGTTGGAGAGGACATGGTTGCCCTGTGGACAAGGGCATTTGGGAGGTGACGGAGAGTGAGACAGAAGGGTAGGAGGCGTTAATCGACTTGCCCTGAGCTAATTTTTCATGAAATCCGAAAAACAGACCATCGCCAGCACCACACCATACATTTTTTTGCCTGCCCCTTTTTGCAAAACAGGGGCAACAGACCAACGAAAATCTTCTTTACGTTGTCTTTTTTATTTCACATTTGGACCGCGCTGAATGGTTTCATGTGCTTTGGTGATTGTGGTCTATGCAGACATGCTCACGGAGGACCCCGGGAATGCTGTCGGGAAAAAAAGTAGGACAGGCGGTATGGGGGGGTGGGGTAAGGTTCAGCAAGCTTGTCGAACTTCTCGCAGAAGGCACGTCGGCGTTGCTGTAGAAGATTGTCACCGTTTCGCTGTCACTACGATCGTGGCTCCGATTTGACAGGGTGATGTGACAAAGGCCCTCGACCCTCTCATATCGGAGCCCCCTCTTATACCGGAATGGGGGGGTACCCCAGCTAAAATGGGTCGAGTCCCTGGCAACTGATTGCGACCCTTTGGTATCGGAGACCCCTCTTGGAAGGATCCCTTTTGTGTCGGGGCCACTACTGAACGGCTGTCTGTGTTGTTTTACAGGTTGAAGGGGCAAAAGCAGCGTGGACAGAATGGCAGGAGTTGGGTGCGGGTGCTTGCTTTGGCTTGGTTTGACTTACAAGGGCGCGGCGCGATGTCAGCATCGAATACTGCCGTGTTAGAGGTGGATGCCACAAACCGTTGGGGTTGTCATTATCGAGTTTTGGTCAGTTATTGCAGTGATCGTTTTTTGCATTTTTGATGTCGTTGCGGTTGGCGTTTTTCGTTGGTTTCAAGGTTGGTTGCACCACAACGACTTTGCCGTTGATGGTGCTGATGCTGTCGCAGTGTTCAAGCACTCGCGGTAAGATGCTTCTCTCGAGAGCAAAGCCAATATCGATGCTTTCGGCCACAATATACTTGAGTCGCCGTGATTCTGTGTACTACATACTTTTTTCTCGTTGCGGACCAGTGCACGGAAGAGATTTCGGTGTTTTTCTTCAAGGTAAGATAAGATGCTTTCAACTTTCGAGCCAAGAGAACTGGGGAGAACGAGAACGACGATGATGAATTCGTGCACGTGGACTTTTTCAACGGAAGGAAATTCCCAAGTCGACCACAACTCCGATATTTTTTACTCCGATATTGTTTTTGTTTTTGACCAATCACCAGAAACGGGTGTACCCGGGTCCTTTATCACCACTTTAGGGTACAGTTAAAAATCAACACGCTTGCACCCCCAGGCTGTCAGCTGATTGGCCGAAAAAACATTGTACCCATTTCTGAAGAAACCTCCATCGGGTACAACTTCCGCTGGAATTAGGACCCTCTGGTGTGACCGATATTGGTTACTAGTGTACCCGGAAGAGGTCAATATTGTACTCAGAAATTGTCATATAATCTCGGCGCCCGACGCTCTAGCATAAAACCCGCAGAAAAAAACGTGTAGTACCGCACACACACCGTGTACCGCACATATGCATACATACATGCAGAACCACAACCAAACCACCAATAACGCTCGCTCGTTCATCGTTCATGGGAACCGCCTCCATAGGGTACCGGCCCTTCTCAACAGAGGGTCAGAATCGCTTGATGCGAGAGTGCTTCGGTGTGGTACTGATGAGTAAAAGCACAGAGAGAGAAAAAAACGGGCACGACCTGCCTCGTGTATCATCATGCTTCCGGGCACAGGACATACAGGCCACAGACAGCGGTTTATTTGTTTCGCCGCGATCTACGGCGGATGCTGTCGGAGATTGGTGTCGTCTTGATTTCCAAGTGTACCCTGAAATGGTGATAATCTATCCGGGTATACCCGTTTCTGGTTACTTCTCTTTGTTTTTTTGGGGGGGAAGGTCGATGTTTCGTTAACGTCCGTCCATGCTGTGCGGACTTGAAGTCGCTTAGAGAAGGAAGAGTCGTTTTCGAAATGTACGATAAAATACCGTTTTCACCTCCGAACCACCCGGGCTGGGGCAAACCGACGGTCACATATTCGCGCGGCCAGCCGGTCATCCCCTACGCGGAAAACAGAAAAAAGTCCATGTCTGGGCGGAAGTAAACTCGCTACAAATGAGAACGGACATTCGTTCATTCGGGTTTGGGAGCGTCCCGGCATGGAACTGGCTGAGCTGTGATACAGAACGTGGCGCCACTTGAAAACCTCTTACTTTTGCCAAGGCTCCTTTCTTCTATGCAAATGCTTACGTCTTATATGGGGTACTGTACGCCCACCGCGACAACATACGTTTTAGTGTGGGCTTCTTCCTGAGCACCTGTTCTTATTGCCAAGTTCTTGGATTTTGTTTTAGGCCCAAGTTCGTCATTCCTATGTTAAAAAAAATGATGGTTCGTTCTATAGTCCTCTCCATCAACCGCAAGGCTGAGGGGGCATGGCGTCGAAACTTCAGGCCCCACCGTTCGTTGTTTTTCGGCGTGTGTCCACGAAAAACGAAGATAAGCGAGTTTCCGTACACACGTTGAACAATCTCAAGCGGGGTATTTTCAAGCAAGAGTGTTTTCGCCGCTCCGAGATGTTTCCGTCCTCCCTTCGGGCGGACTGTCCGATATTGCGGCCCCATGGCGTACTAGGCTTAACGGCCAACCTGACGTGAGAACCGGCACAAGGTGTCACCTGCCAGGTAGGTTCTTAGACGGGCACGCCCTTGGTGTTTGGTTCTCCACAATTTCGCCGCATCTCGAGGTGTGGTCGCAAGACGTGCTGATTGGCTGAACTCAGCTGAAGTCTGTCCGTCAACAGACTTGTTGTGCTCCATCCTTTGCAAGTTGTTTCTTTTGTCGATTTCGGAACAGATTTTTCTTTTTTTCCGCATGGGAAACACCGACACGGGGCACACCGCAGCAGTCAGCGCAGAGGGAGATCATCAAGCGAGACCCCTCCCATTATTCCCCGTGTCGACTCCTTATATTAATGTCTGGTGGTCATGCAAGACCAGAGGCAAACCGGTTGTACCCCTGGATCATCTCCTGCGTCACCCCCGGCCTGGCCGCCGCAGCCTCGGCCGCCGCCATGAGATGCCGCATCGCTACCGTAGCACCCCGTCTCTCTTTCTCCGTACCCATCGCAGTGGCCTGCTGCACCTCTTCCGGACCACCATCGTCTTCGCTTTGTCGGCACGAGTCGGCGGCGACGGTGCTGCTGCTAGTGGCGGTGATGGTTGCGGCAATGCTGCTGGTGCCGGTGCTGTTGTCAGCGTCGCTCCAGAACCCGGCTTCCCTGATGGCCGACATCGCGGCCTCTCTACAGACCCCCTGAAGACACACGATATTTTGTTTCGCGGGCATTGGAGCAGAGGAAGGCAAAGTGATGTCACACGGAATGGAGAGACCGGGCACAACCGTTTTGATGATCTGCAAGAGAGTGACAAAACGAGAGTGGTCGACGATGACACGTGGTGTTGGGTTTCACAGAGCGATCCGGGGGTAGAGTAGTACACGTCGGTACAGGCAATGTAACGTGAAGACAATGGCAACCGCCGCAGCAGACCGAGGGAATTACGCAGAGCCGACCAACTGTTCACCAATCACAATCGTTATTTCTCTCCGCGGCAACGAACGTGGCCAGCACATACATACCTGTAGGCGACGCAAGATAGCACACGATTGTCAAAGCTCGATTACTCCGAAGCAGATACGGCGCCGTGCGGACAACGGCGGTGTAAGAACCGTCTCAGCGAGAGGTTTCCGAAAAGGTGTCACAATACTTGTGCATCGTTTTCGTCGTGGAGTAATCGAGCTTTGAGAATCGGTCCAGGGGGTGTGCTATTTTCCGACGGTATATACGTCCCTTCCAGTGTCACCAAACCAAGTAAGATGGCATCAAGAGCAGCCAGCAGAAGCAACCCACAGCTGGCTGCCAGCTGTCAGTTGTGACGTTCCCCCAGCTCCAACAGCTCACCCACAACCGATGTGTTTGCGACTCGAAGACCCCAACAAACCACCCAAAGAGAGAAAAACAAACAAGACTGAAAAAACTGTCTTCAGGCCAACATGTGCTTCGTATAGAAGCTGAATTCAACTCACTAGAATAGTCAGCGGCTGACTAGTGAAATGGGTTCACTTTAGCTGACTGGTATAATGGGTTGATTTCAGCTTCTATATTGCATATGAGGTGAATTAACAGCATGCCGTTGTTTTATTGCGGGGTGGCGGACAGTAACAGTAACAGTAACAGTAACAGTAACGGAAGGATTCTATTAGGTGGGTACAGTATCTATCTCCTTCCATCGTTCTAGAGGCAGTCGAACGTACCCATCATACCTCTATTTCAGCCCCCGTCAAGCCCTTGGTGACGCCAGCGAGCCTGAGGAAGTCGACGTCCTCCCTGTCCACCGCCATCCTCTTCGTGTGTACCTCGAAGATCTGCCGGGGAAAAGACAAACAAGGGCAGCGACACGTCACGGTAGGGAATACAAACGAACCATTAGGCGCATTATTGACACTCGGTGTTTCATTGTCGTTCCGCAAAACCAATGGTATGGGAATCGTTTGGCGTCAGGAGCGGAAAAATACTCGGTTCTTCGTTTGTCGGGAGGGAAGGAGGGATCAAATAATAAGCTATGCTTGCGCCAAGAACGACGATACTTTTTAACTCTTTGACAGCGGAGAAAAACCTCGCGCGCAGCAACAACCAACGTCAACGCGAACGAAAACACATACCGGGGACAGTCCTACCAAGTCAGAAATCCCGGGAGAAAATAAATACTGAACACGCACTCGGAGATGGGGAGAAAAGCAAGACACGCACAGAGTGAACGTACCAATCAAATCAACACGAACACAGGAAAAAAAAAGAGAAACGACAGAGAAAAAAAAGAAACACAAGGTTCACCTGCCGCCTTGCATCCTCTTCGGGTAGCGGGGCGTAGACCACCTGGTCGAATCGCCCGGGCCGCAGAAGCGCGCGGTCCACCGCCTCCGGTCTGTTCGTGGCCCCGACAACGACCACCCCGTCCCCCTTGAGGCTGCCGACGCCGTCCATCTCCGTCAAGAACGTCGCCAGCACACGCGACTCCGCCGAGCTTGCGGACCCCTGGGGACCCCGTTAGTGCGTGCGTGCGTGGGCAAACGACATCAACGCTGGGTTTCAGGCACGGGCGGGTGTCTACTATGTTATGGCGGGCGAGGGGCGTTTCCTTTTGGGGGGAGGGTGTTTTTATGTTTATTGGGGGGGGGCAGGCATTGTATTATGTGAGGGCGGGATATTTTGGTGTATTGATGGGATGTCGTTGTTGTCGCCGGTTGGGAGCAGATATCGAGTCCCGGTAGATGCGCAAAAGAACGATGGTTGAGGGAAATGGCAGAACCAACTGCAGCAAGAGCTTGCTGCCAGCCACCGTGCATGGCAACTACCTGAACCGTGGTGGCAAAGGGAAGACGACGTTGGTGCTACTCTCCTTCAACTGGGCACCGTGACAGCTGCAATTTTTCCAAGGCCTTCAAGTCAACAAGCCAAAACAAAGTTCCCACGAATTTCCCCCCCGAGATAACCAACTGGACCACTTTACGTTTCAACGAAAATGGAGCAAACAAACACAAGTTTCGTCCATCCACCGGGATCACCAAAACCCCGACGATGTATCTTTTTATCCACGCATAGAAGCGAATTGGCAAGTTTTCGTTTCACAGACGACAGTTAACGCGATCCGTGCCAGCATCCACACGCAAAACTCACGGACGCCGGAGAAGGAGCGAGATACGACAACCCTGTAGGATTGCGCGGCGCAGGTGGTTCAATTGCCAAAAATCGGAAATTATAACCCTGCGTGGTCATGGTCTCCAGGCCAAGGCATGCGAACCATGAGCACGCCGCTCTAATCCAAAAAGGCTTGCCTTGCCCCCGCCGCCCCTGTTGCATACGATTGCGTCGATCTCGTCGAAGAAGAGGATGGCAGGCGCGGCATTCCGAGCGATCCGAAAGGTTTGCCTGATCTCTGCCTCTGCTTCTCCCAGGTAAGGGGAAAACACGTCGGCCCCTGAAAAAGCAGAAGCGAGGTAAACAATGAAAAACAAGCCAAAATCACAACCACTAATGCGGGGAAAAACAGGTCGGCGCCTGT